GAGGTTTATGCTCATCAAATCCTTCCGCTCCCAAACACTGCGTGACATCACTCCAGTAGCCCCACCCCATCCTCCTTTCTCACATGCACACGCTTGCGCACACATGCACAAAAGCACTGAGACGCACACAGACCTGTTTATACACACACTCTCCATTCACATATGTAAGAAACAAGACAGCACAGATCCAGGACCTGAAACACTTCTTTTATATCAGATCTAACCTGTGAGATTACACTTAGAACTCACATTGGTTAGACCGGTTCAGTCCAGTGTTCTCCTGTAAATTTCCACGATTACAATAAGAACAGGGTTTACTGTAGACACACAGTGATGTTTGTACAATTAAATAGATCTCTGTAGCCTAGAGAGATTAATGTGTGCAGGCAAAGTGAATGTGCAGTTGTATTATCTCTTAGCAATATGCCCTACAAGGCTCTAAATCATCCAGTTGCATTGTGCAGCTGTCACTTGGCTAAATAAAGCCTTAATAAAGGTTTATTCACACAAACTGAATAGATACCTTTGTATTTTATTTTATTTTATTTTATTTTTTTATTGTTGGTCAGACAAATGAGCAAGAAATGATACAGGGGAAACATGATGTGGCTGTAACACTTTTTGTTTCAGCACCTATAACTCACTAAATCTTTGCGTTCAAGCTGTCAAATTTTGGCACAAAGTACCCTCAGAGTTTCCAGCTTCGCCAGCTTTATCACAAAAGTCATCAACTGATGTCATATAAAAGGAGTTCTATTGGTACAACCTGCCTCTCCACATTACCTGGGGTAAGTTGTATAAATAACAGTGGAGAGTTTAAAATTACACTATTGCAAAAAATACAAATAAAAAAACTGTTTCAAACTCTAATAACTATTTCCTGCTAAGGTCTAACTTGCTAACCTGTCCTGTCAGATGTTTAGTGCCTCACACATCATCTACCACAGTCACTAACCAGTCAAGACATCCTCTTGAAGAAGAAGAGGATATTTTTTAATAATCCCAGAGGGGACATTTAATTTTTTCACTCCGTTGTCACATACACACAGGCCCAAATTACACACATGCACAAACAGGACCTATACATGCATTAAATGGAGTGATGTTAGAGTCAGGGTGCTGTCTTGGACAGGCGCCCCCAAGCAGTTGGGGGTTCAGTGCCTTGCTCAAGTGCACCTCGGCAGTGCCCAAGAGGCAAACTAGCACCTCTCCAGCTACTAGTTCACGCTCCATATTTGGTCTGGACAGGGACTTGAACTGGAACCAAAGTGCCCATTGCTCTTGCTGTGCATTGGATACTCTTTGCCCACACAGAGCAGCTGTGTTGCTCTTCTTTCTCTCGGGTTTTTTTATCGCAGTATCTGCTCGGGGTTACTGTCTTTACCTGTCTCACCTCATCTAACGCAGACTTAAGTACGTATGCAAGCACGCCCCTGTAATGTATTCTTACCAGCTCTCTTGGCATGCTGAAAAGGGAATAAGATAGATACAACTGTTATTAAGGTTAGTTGCAACACTTTATAAAATGCATTAGAATGTTCAAAATCCCCATTTAGCTATGTGCAGCAGCATGGCCCTGAAATAGATGAAGATGAAAAGCCTCACATTTCACCCAAGAGACTACTCTCTAATCTCATGCAAGTTACATACAGTACAGGCCAAAAGTTTGGACACACCTTCTCATTCAATGCGTTTTCTTTATTTTCATGACTATTTACATTGTAGATTCTCACTGAAGGCATCAAAACTATGAATGAACACATGTGGAGTTATGTACTTAACAAAAAAAGGTGAAATAACTGAAAACATGTTTTATATTCTAGTTTCTTCAAAATAGCCACCCTTTGCTCTGATTACTGCTTTGCACACTCTTGGCATTCTCTCCATGAGCTTCAAGAGGTAGTCACCTGAAATGGTTTTCCAACAGTCTTGAAGGAGTTCCCAGAGGTGTTTAGCACTTGTTGGCCCCTTTGCCTTCACTCTGCGGTCCAGCTCACCCCAAACCATCTCGATTGGGTTCAGGTCCGGTGACTGTGGAGGCCAGGTCATCTGCCGCAGCACTCCATCACTCTCCTTCTTGGTCAAATAGCCCTTACACAGCCTGGAGGTGTGTTTGGGGTCATTGTCCTGTTGAAAAATAAATGATCGTCCAACTAAACGCAAACCGGATGGGATGGCATGTCGCTGCAGGATGCTGTGGTAGCCATGCTGGTTCAGTGTGCCTTCAATTTTGAATAAATCCCCAACAGTGTCACCAGCAAAACACCCCCACACCATCACACCTCCTCCTCCATGCTTCACAGTGGGAACCAGGCATGTGGAATCCATCCGTTCACCTTTTCTGCGTCTCACAAAGACACGGCGGTTGGAACCAAAGATCTCAAATTTGGACTCATCAGACCAAAGCACAGATTTCCACTGGTCTAATGTCCATTCCTTGTGTTTCTTGGCCCAAACAAATCTCTTCTGCTTGTTGCCTCTCCTTAGCAGTGGTTTCCTAGCAGCTATTTGACCATGAAGGCCTGATTGGCGCAGTCTCCTCTTAACAGTTGTTCTAGAGATGGGTCTGCTGCTAGAACTCTGTGTGGCATTCATCTGGTCTCTGATCTGAGCTGCTGTTAACTTGCGATTTCTGAGGCTGGTGACTCGGATGAACTTATCCTCAGAAGCAGAGGTGACTCTTGGTCTTCCTTTCCTGGGTCGGTCCTCATGTGTGCCAGTTTCGTTGTAGCGCTTGATGGTTTTTGCGACTCCACTTGGGGACACATTTAAAGTTTTTGCAATTTTCCGGACTGACTGACCTTCATTTCTTAAAGTAATGATGGCCACTCGTTTTTCTTTAGTTAGCTGATTGGTTCTTGCCATAATATGAATTTTAACAGTTGTCCAATAGGGCTGTCGGCTGTGTATTAACCTGACTTCTGCACAACACAACTGATGGTCCCAACCCCATTGATAAAGCAAGAAATTCCACTAATTAACCCTGATAAGGCACACCTGTGAAGTGGAAACCATTTCAGGTGACTACCTCTTGAAGCTCATGGAGAGAATGCCAAGAGTGTGCAAAGCAGTAATCAGAGCAAAGGGTGGCTATTTTGAAGAAACTAGAATATAAAACATGTTTTCAGTTATTTCACCTTTTTTTGGTAAGTACATAACTCCACATGTGTTTATTCATAGTTTTGATGCCTTCAGTGAGAATCTACAATGTAAATAGTCATGAAAATAAAGAAAACTCATTGAATGAGAAGGTGTGTCCAAACTTTTGGCCTGTACTGTAATTCTAAATTCAACAGTATCAGTAATAATCAACACCTACATTTGGGCTGAAACATTACTTTCATGCCTTAAAAATCAGAGTTAAAGCTGAACTACGGAGAAAGTGGCGTTGTTACAACCATAGCCTACCTGGTCTCCCCTAAATAAGCAAAAAATGAGCAAAAATAGGATGGAGGTGGCCTATGTAAGAGTAATTTATCAGTTTATTAACTCAAAGGTCCCTCTCCATAAACAGCATGAGCAGATTCACCTCAGCTGACATGGCTGGTGCTGTCAGTCGATCAGTGTTCAGTGTTCTGGCTACTTACTTGCTGAGGGGACGTAGGTACGGCATCTGGGCCCTTAAGTAGACTGCTAATTGCATTCATGGCCTATTTTGTAAAAGGCTGATAGGCTCCGTGTTTGTAGCATCACTGTACTGTATGTCAGCTGATACAGGTAACATATGTGTTCTATCCATAGACATATTATGAGACAACGGGTCCCTGGGTACAGATATGCAAAAGGCCCACCACTTCTCCTACACAGGAGCAAGACACACAGGGTTTGTGATGGTTTCGCATCTTTTTGTTGTCATTATGTGGTTTTGTGTGTCTTTGTGCGCAGTTTGTCTCTCTTTGATGTAAATTTGTGTCTCCTTGTGGTTGTTTTGTATCTCTGTAGTCATTTTGTGTCATGTTGCAGTTCCCTTGCATCTCTTTGTGGTCTGTTTGTGTGTGTTTGTGATCACTTAGACCCCCTTCCTGGTCAGTGCATGTTAATTTGGGTGACATTTTGCAAGTAAAGGCGAGGAGGGCCCTGACGCTTTTGGGCTCCTGTGCCTCTGCCTGGTAGGCCTGTTCAGTAATCCATTCATGGTCCTATCTATCTCTTTCCAATTGGGATGTTCCTAATGACTTAAGCAGTGTGGAAACTTTTGGCTTGTCCTCCTGATTACAGATACATGCTTATTCTCATTATCATCCCTTCCAGGCTAGGTCTGCCAGTACACCTTGGCACTATGGCACCCTCCTCAGGTACCTGGGAGACTGTGATTTGAGTCATGATCAACCTGTGTGGCTTTTCACACTTGTTTCCAATCTTAGTGCCTTTCACCAAAAGTACAAGTTTCATAGTTGTGCATGATGTATAAAAACAGTATTGCGACTAAAATAAAAACCGCTGAGGCTCAGAGACACAAACTTCTCTTTAAAAATGTGAGATGGTTTCTCTCTCATACAAATCCATGGTCCATTCTAGCACTTACAGCTTGAAACCTCCAAAGAAATAACTGCATTAATTCATGTGTGACGGAATTATTTGACGACTGTGTTACAACACAGTAAGTCAGAATTGCAATTTAACTTTGATTGTTATCTATAAAGTTTCCACTGAGCATTTTCCTGGATCTATTATGATGTTTACTATTGTGACTGTCATTAAATTTGTACTGTCTTTTGTCTGTATTGTGCCATTCAGTGCCAAAGGTTTGCACCATTTGAGCTATTTAAATGAGCTCCCTGCTTGAGTATCAATTCAAAACCGAGGCTTAGGTCTAGCCAGCGGGACTGAAAGAAACTGTGTCACCCAATAGCGTGGGCTCCATTGTATCCGTGAAAGGCCTAAGCAGCACTCTGGGTATTGTTTTCTTTAAAGGGGAGTCAGGTTACCTTGACAACCGCAGGATGCCTACCCATAGGCCCTGGGACAGAGAAAAGACACGGCCAGAGAAGGAGGGAAAGAAAGCGAAAAGAAACAAAAAAGGAGGCGAGATAGGCTACTTCCCAGTCCAAACTTTATTTCCTTTTTTTTTAAGTTTATGTGTTTTGAAAACAGGCCCGATGGTTGCCAGTGGGTTGAGACGGAGACCGGAGGAGGTGAGGATGTGTGTGTGTGTTTGTTTGTGTGGTTGTGCATGTGCAGGTTTGTCTTTTACGCTGAGCCGCTGACATCTCTGTATCTGTCTCACATTGTCACACAGCAGCAGTTTGGTTTTGTTTAGGTTCAGTATTTCTGTCAGTGTAATGAACATGTTCAACACACTCGCAGAGAGACCACAGGCTTAAACGGCTTTCATGACCAGTCATGCTGGCAACAGCATTACTTTGATAATCTATTTATGCTTGCAGACGTTATTGGTTCAATTCATGTGGAAAGTGTGACCGTTCATTTGCAATATAAAGAAACCACAATGGACATTTAAAGCTTTATCCAGAATATGAGTGGAAATAGTGTATGAATTATGTTTTTCTCTGCCCAAGTCATGTCTATACATTTATTACTTACTGGGATTTGCAATGTGCTTGTTTTGACAGTGAGATACAGCATCCTGTAAACAGCAGGCCATGCATGTTGCACTGCGGCCACGCAGGTAAGCCTCATCATCATTAGATCAGTGGCTAATCAGTGGACAGGAAGTAGTAAAGCTGTACAGTAGCAACAGTCCATAATTACATTTTGCTTTACTTACTTAGCTCATTCATTCTCATTTTGACAGCTGATGTCTGAGGTCCACCTCACAGTGACTAATGTGTAACTGATTATATTCATAATCACATCTTCCCTTTACATGGAGCTGGATATCCCCAGCATGTGACATCAACAACAGTAGCTATCAGGCCATCACAAAGTAACCTGTTTTCACATGATTTACAGCTCTGCTACTTTTCCATACCGTATAACCCCTAATTCAAAGACATGTGACGTCGGGATGAGTGCTTTGACAACTTTGATGAAACACAGATTGATAGAATGAAATGGAAATAATTTGTTTGGATCATAATCTGGAGCTTTATAGGCAGTGGGAGAGCCTTGAAACTGTTTGTGCTTGGCTACGCTGTATTTCTTTGGGTAAGGGTTTGTGGGTTTACTGGCCTGATGAAAGTGAGACCAAAGTGACTGCTCAATCTGCCCCAGTTATACTGACGCTGGGAGCCCATGTGAGCAGTGAGCAGACACATGCTATAATCGATTCACGATTCAGATATTTGTTTTGACACACCAGGGTCCTCACGTGAAGTCATGGAACAGTTTAGTTCTTCACATTCTCTGTGTATTTGACGAAAGACAAAGTCAGGCTGTACGTTTTTATTGCGTCAAATCCGCTCTTAAAATCAAATATATGAAGTTAAAAGGGGATTTAACTGGCTGGTTATGACACAAATTGTTAAAAGGTGGTATTTTATGTCATGTTCCATATATGGCCAATATACTTACAAAGAAAATACACCGATGACATATCTGGAGATGTTACTGTACCTTATAGCCTACCTCTGTGTCTGTGCTTATTAAAAAATATCATGTACAAAACTGGGCATGTGCAAAGGTTGTAGCTCAACTTGTTTGAGAAATTTGATTTTGTTTTTTGTTTTTTACCGCTAAAACTAGCACTAGTAAACCTAGTTAGTAAGCTAACAGGGAAGTCTAACCTTAGCTAACAATAACAGATAAATGCTTGAAATTGTTAGCTCAAAGTGATAATATCTTGACACCAATAGCTTGAATTAATGCATAATTACTAAAAATGGTTGGCTTAAAGTATAAATGCTTGAAACTGTTAGCTCCAAGTCATGGATAAATGCTTGAAATGGTTTAAAGCTTAAAGTTAGGGATCATTTCTTCACACGGCTAGCTTAAATCAATGGATAAATCCTAAAAATTGTTATCTCAAAGTACCCTAATGAATAAATGCTTGAAGTGGTTACTAGCACATGAAATTACTAGCTAAAAGTAATGGATAAATGCTTGAAATTGTTAAAGTAATATATGCTTGAAATTGTTAGCGCCAACTAGGCTAAATGATATGTCCTTGAAATTGTTAGCATAAAGCTAATTCTTGATGCTGTAAGCTTAAATTAATGCATAAATCCTAAAAAGTATAATCCTAAAGTAATGAATAAAGAAGGTATCTTAAAGAAGGTATAACACTGTTAGCTTAAAGTAAGGGATAATTACTTTAAATTAATGGACAAACACTTAAAATTCTTAGCTAAAAGTAGTCCAATGGATGAATGCTTGAAATTGTCACTTTAAAGTAATTTAAGGTATAAGTGCTCGAAATTGTTAGCTAGCCTACAAGTGGGTACATGTCATTGGTCCGACATCCCATTAGTCCGATGGTCGGCGGTGCTGAACAGCTCCCGGCGGGCGTATTTCTACCTTGATGGTGCGCCGCGACCAGCTGGGTCAGCTGGGAAAGGCTTGAGGCGAAGCAGGCTCACAGCTTATGTGTTTGTCAGTTTCTTTTTCATTTTAACCCACACCATGATCTTTTCCTAACCCTAACCAAGTGTTTTTTGTGCTTAAACCTAACCAGACCTTGCAGTTCCCCCTACAAGTAACGTTAACTGATATCTTTGAAATTGTTAGCATAAAGTACTGATACGTTCTTGACTCTGTTAGCTTAAATTAATGCATACATCCTAAAAATTGTTTTCATAAAGTAATGGATAAGTGCTTGAAATGGTCATTTTAAAGTAGGTATAAATGCTTGACATTGTTAGCTTAAAGTAATGGATAATTGCTTGAAATTGTTAGCTTCAAGTAAGGGATTATTTCTTCACACAGCTAGCTTAAATTAGGCCTAATGGATAAATCCTAAAAATGTTATCTCAAAGTAGCCTAATGAATGAATGCTTGAAGTGGTTAGCTTAAACTAGGTAGGCCTATATGCTTGAAACTGTTAAGGTAATGGATGATTGCTAGAAAATTAGCTAGCTAAACGCAATGGGTAAATGCTAGAAATTGTTAGCTCCAAGTGATCCAAGTGTCCTTGAAATTGTAAGCATAAAGTAATGATAAATTATTGACACTATTAGCTTAAATTAATGCATATACCCTAAAAATAGTTAAAATAATGAGTAGTGGTTGAAATGATTATCTTAAAGTAATGGATTTCAATCAATGGATGGTGAAATTGTCAGTTTAAAGTAAAGGATAATTTCTTGACACTGTTAGCTTAAAGTAAGGGATCATTTCTTGACACCGTTAGCTTAAATATGTGGATAAATCCTAAAAGTTATTATCTTAAAGTAACCTAATGAATTGCTTACAGTGGTTATTTTAAAGTTGGTATATGCATCAAACTGTTAAAATAATGGATAAACTCTTAAAACTTAGTTTCTGCCAGTCCAAGCAAGATGAATGAATAAACTTAATCAAAACCGACCTTAACGCTGACACAGTTCAGTTACATGAAAAAAAAATCGATTCTGTTATGAAATCTGCATATAAACAGTGTTCAATGACATCCAGTTTGAAATAATCACAAAGGTGGTGTCATGCGATTCTTGAGTTGGATGTTCTCTCTTTGCTGTAGCATTTCAAAAGGTTTCTCTGTGTATTGTGCCCTCTAGTTGTTGCCTGGTGCTCTGTCTGTGCCTGTCTTTATCCACCCTGCTGCTACAGAGCCTCTGGGTGCCGATTGAGATGACCAGGGATGAACCTGCTGGCAGGTCACCTGAGGAACAAGGTAACATATACACACACAGCTTAGTTTAGAAGTGGACAGTTAAAAAACAGAAGCCTTAACCTTTTTAATAGTAAAACATGAAACATCCATGTGTTCCTAGACAAACATGGTGTTTGAGCAGCACTGATTATGAATAACGTATAATAAGCACATCATAAAATTATAATCTCATTCAGATGTGATGTCTTCACACCAAGAGCTTATTGTGGAAATAGAGCAGCATTACTCCAGGGGATAGGACCTGACCTGACTGTCTTCCCAGTGTTAGATGAAGCTTTGTACACAATTCGCGGTGGGTCCTCCCATGTTTCTGACAGTTGTGGGTTTGCGGCCAAGATACCCGTGCTCAACTCAATCGTCTGCCTAAACTGTTTCCCTAAAGAAGGGTATTTAAGGGGGCAGGAGACAAAGTTGTTTGGGCAAAAGCTTTTTTCCTGGTTTACAAGGAAGAGACAAATGTTGTCAACATTCTCCTCCAGAGTGTGTGTCTGTTTCTGTAAAATCAGCGTTCTTTCTTTTGCACCCAAGGAATAAATTAGCATATTCTGGTGCCGTGTCTACCCCAGGCTCAGCAAGCTCCACTCTGTGTTTTAAATGGTTTGCTACTTAATGTTCAATTTGTTGTTTTTGTTAGGGATCTTAATTTAACCATTTTGTTTGTATCATTCTGATATTGGTTTAATTTTCAATCAGATCAATTTAGATAAAAAATATAATCTCATACAGATGCTGCACAGTTAGTCAATGTAACCATCTCATGAGGGTTAAAAAACAGACGCACAGATTTAATTCAAGGCATACCAAGACCACATTGTTTTGTGAAAAATTCTGATAAGATCAATCCGATTCAAAATGTAATCACATACGAGGACTTTTTATCTAAACATCCTGATTCGTTTCTTCTCAAATTCAAGGAAATTTATCTTTAGCAGAGAGTAAAAATCACTGGTGCATCTCAGCCAGCCACAGGCCCAAAACTGGTCTGTGCTTTGAGAGACCCACCACGAGTTGTGTACAAAGAGCCAACCAGCCATGGTCAACGGTTGTGTTGGAAAATATGCCACATAGGGGAAGCTGTTGGTCAGCGTGCACAATTAGTCCAGCTCAAATTTAGAGGCTTAGCTTCGATCAGCCACTTTGAAAAATTATCCGTCTGACCAAGTCAGTTGATGTCGTATCCAAACTTAAATTCAACCCTGGCTGCGGCAGACAGGAAGTTTGTATGAGTGGGTTGCTTTTATTTTTTTTGAAACACATTGTTGTTCTTTAAAAGCACATAATAAAGAGCTTTGTACTGCTCATTTTCTGTCTCTCCAAATTTGACACAAACGTTCACTTGGACTCAAGGATGAACTGGTTAGATTTTTGTGGTCATAGCTCAAAGGTTAAGGTCAGGGTGATCTTGCCTTGTCTCGTTCTTGAGAACATGATACCTTAAGAATACCTCGAGGAAATTTCTTTGAATTTGGCACAAACTTTCACTTGGACTCAACGATGAACCAATGAGATTTAGGTAATCAAAGGTCAAGGTCACTGTGACCTTGCATCCATTTCACTCTCATGAACGCAATATCTCAGCAAGACCTCAATAGAGTTCTCTCCAATTCGGTACAAACATCCACTTGGACTCAAGAATTAACTGACTGACTGAATTTGGTGGCCAAAGGTCAAAGCTCAAGGTCACTGTGACCTCACAAAACATGTTTTTGGCCATAACTCAAGAGTTAGTACGCTAATTATGACAAAACTTAACACAAATGTCTAATAGGATAAAATGATGAAGTGATGATGTTTTATATCCAAAAGGTCAAAGATCAACTTCACTGTGACATCATAATGTTCTGCAAAAACACTTTTCTGACCATTACTCAATGTTATATCAGGAACAGAAGGGGAGACATTTGGTCAGACACTGAATCTTGGTGCCCACCTTGAAACTGTGCTGACTGTGTAGATCTTCTGTGCTGCCAGGGGAAAGATGTGTGTAAAGCATTCATGTTTTCATAGACATGGATGTAAACTGTAAGTGAGGTATTTGCGGAGAGTTATGACCGCAAAGCAGTAACAGTTTTACTTGTCATATGACAAGTAAGTAAGGGTTGCACACATGTACCCACACACATTATTGTATTAGCTGCACAAACACACCTTTATAAGTGTTTAAACTGTTTTGTCACACTTATATGTCATAGTAGTTATGTCATACAACTGGCATTAAGATGTTACAGGATCACACCTCTTCTCTCCCATTCATCTGTCATTGCATCTGCCCAAAGGGCCCCTGGGCATGTGAGTAGTGATATTCTGACAGTCAGCTGAACAAATACAGGTGAAATGACATCACCAGTCTGGTGGATTTTACATTTAATCAGAGGTCAAAGCTCTGTCCCCAAGGAGATCCTTACTCTGACCTCAGATCAACCCTAACTCCACCAGCTTCCCCCCACCTCACCAAGTAGAAAAAACACAACGTAACTTGTCTTTCCCAACAACTGTTTCCAACCATCCTGAGGCCCCCACTATAACACTTAATATTATTCATACAGTGCCAACACATGCTTCATAGAAATATTTCAATCAAGACAGCTTTGATCTGCCATCTCAAATGGCTCATTTAAGCTCCTCCGGCAGGCTTTTAAAACACAAAGTCGATGTTTTTACGGTTATAGCAGTGGTTCTCAAACTTTTTCTGCCATGCCCCTCTTCAGAAGCCCTGGTTATCCATGCCTCACCTGCAGTGACTCTACGCCCCCGCAAGGAGGCATGCCCCACAGTTTATGAACCACTGAGTTATGGCAAGTTGGTAACTCGAATGCATGGCAACTAGCTATGTAGCTAACAGAGAGCTTAACTGTGAACACTGCTACTTCAGGTCAGTCAAACACTTTACACTGGTCGACCTTTCAGAACAAAAACAAGAGGTACTGTAGTTTGTTAAAAACATTAATAACATATAGACACTGTAACCCACATTTTATGGCCTTAAATGTAAAATGCTTGTTTTTTGGTGTGGGTGTCTTGTAAATGTTGGAATCCTTCTTTGAAGACACTTTATAACTGGTTAAGGCTCTGGTTTCCAAACTGGGGGTCAGGACTCCCTCTGGGTCTCCAAGGTAAATCTTAGGTGTTAAAATGTGATTAAAGAAATATGAACTAAAAAATACATATTTCTATCACACAAGATTATGTTTCATTCTTTTAAAATTTAGTCAGGACCACTTTAGTAAAAGAAAACTTTATTTCCATTTGCAGTATTATATTTGGTGGTATCATTCTGTTCTGGGGCCTCTCTGCCTTTCCTAGGCCTATCCAGAAAGCCTAAGGTGGAGAGAGCACACCTCTCTGCCCTTCCATATGCCTAGATGAAAAGCCTAAGGTGGCGAGAGCACACCTCCCCTCCACATGCCTTCGTGGAAAGCTTAAGGCAGAGAGATCACACATCTGTGCCCTTCCATACGCCTGTGTGGAAAGCCTTAAGGTAGAGAGAGCACACCAATCTGCCCTTTCATGCGCATACGTGGAGAGCCCTAAGGCAGAGAGAGCAAACCTCCCTGCCCTTCAATGTGGCTACATGAAAAGCCTATGGCAGGGAGAGCAGCAGCAAAGGCCCCCCGGGAACAGAACAGAGCAGCATCAATGACAAACAGAAATGACACTGATAAGTCAGACACAGCATGAAAAGGAGGAGCTGGGGTGAAGGCGGGTTGCAGCGCGGCTTGCAGAGGAAGCAGCAACAGTAGGCAGGCCAGAGCAGTTTAAATAGGGTAATTGGTTGGGTAGAAAGGAATCATGTGATCTATCAGCTGGCTCCCTTCCATCAACCAGCTGCTCCATGAGTTGATTGGGCTGTTTGAGATCAACTGATGTAGCTGGGATGTAAGCTGAGCTTGACATTGTGTCCTGCCTGAACTAACACTATGCTCAATTTGTTGTTTTTTCCCTTCTAAAATATTGGACATTTTCATCTCTTTAGGCCTTTAAAAACTAGGAAAAACCAAACTGCTGACTCCTAATTTCTGCATCAAGCTCATTCCCTGTGAGAAGAGGTTGCAAAGAGATGTTGCATTATTTTAAGAGGTCACAAGCCAAAAAGGTTGGGAAGCACTGGGTTAATGAATGCACAGCACATGTATGTAAATATGCTGTTTGTGAATAACTTGAGGTCAGCAATTTGAGCTTAACACTACATTCAACAATGAAGGTGTCTGAGGAAACATTCACAAAACATATACATACAGTATGCCTGTATATATATGAGTGTATGTGCCAGTTTGTGTGTGTGTGAGCCGTCCTTGAAACCACAAAGCTCTAGTTACAATCAGAAATATTATGTTATCAGAAAGTATAACATCTTTATCTGTCATAAAAAAAGTCCTTCAGGAAAAATCACCTTTGTAAAAATGACCAGTTACCCTCTACATGGAACATGGAAAATACACTTAGCCCTAACTGCTGCTTTGTTTGCAGTAGATCAGGTTAAGAAAATAGCATTACATAACCCTGCTGTTTCATGATACACAGAACAAGATTTCCCATGACATAACACACAGTATTACTACTTAAACATTGTGATAGGGGGTAGCATATGATACTGTACATACACGACATGCCATGTTGTATTTACTTTATGTCACAGGTCAGCGTGGTCCTGGCTTTCGCAGGCTGGCTCTCCGCTTGGAGGCTTTGAACACTCAGGTGCAGAGGCTGAGCAGAGAGAGAGATGTAACTCAGCTGACCAAAGATGATCTCAGTCTGTTACTACAGAGGTATTCAACAACATCTCTCGTCTTAACATACAAACAGAATATAGCTTATTGTATTTGTTCATACAGTATGGATACATATGCGCTTGTTGTCCAGCTTTAGACAGGACCAGCAAGGCTTAGCCCGTTTGGTGGAGAAGGAGTTGAAGAGAGTGTCTCAGAGGCTTGACCAGCTCAGCCGTCATCAACACCATCACCATCAGTCTCACACACCGTCTCCACATGATCACCTCAGATTACACACAGGTAAAGCTCAGCCCAGACCTTCATGTTTGTGACCACCCCCAGTGTGGGATTGATAAAGTCTTGTCTCGTCTTGTCTTAACTTATCTTAAATCATCTTATCTGTCTCTTAATAAACACATACCTTTTGTTTTTACTTTCTTGATAATAATAATATACATTTTTAAAGATTTTAGAGTTGTTTCGAAGTGTTTGTAAATCTGAAAAGTCTGAATTTATGACATGATATCATCTAAACTGCACACATCGTATGCACAATGCTCTATGACATTTTTGCTCAAAGTGTGGCCCGCGACATTTGAGGCTTTGCTTCTGTTGGGGGGTCCGGTGGATCCTCTCCTGGCACTTTTTTTTTTGATAAACAAGCTCTGTGTTGATGCTTTTTATGCTCTTTGGGACCTTCTTTATAATCAAAGTACAAAAAAAATCCCAGTGTTGGTCAGTTTATTTTTACTGTGAGTTAGAAAATTGTCGGCGGGCCACCCGTCACCCTAGTATCACTGATCTATGGGGTCTAAATTAGCCTGGCTGAGACCCCACACTCCGATTTAGACTGAAAAGACAGGTGTATTGGGCTATCACATACAAATCTTGCCTAGTCTTGCTGTAATTTTACGATGCACTTTGCTTAAAGCAGCCCATTGTCCAAGCTAAAACAGAGATTTTAGGGTTTGTTCCAGTTATAACATGCTCTAACATTCTGGCTACACCAAATAAATACACTCTCCCCTCTCTGCATGTTGCCAGCTTCAATAATTGCAAGCTTCTCTGTGGTTTACTGCAGTGGTAGCGTGATACTCCGAGCCAAATGCACGGTTCATAGCCTCAATAGAGGTTAACCACACAGTGAAATTAACAAGCTGTGATAATGGAGGGTGTGAATGGGGGGGGTTAAAGGGCAGTGGGTGCAGGTGGTTATGGGGGATGAAGTCCTTGAATAGAAGTTTAACAAGTCCCACAGAGCCAGTGTCGATCAACTGGTTGTGGGGAGCGGAAAAAAAGTTTACATTTACGCTACGACCCTCCTGAGAGGTGTCAGGTGAGAGTCGGGTTACGCACCCTGGTTGGCACGCGAGGGGCTGTGTGTGTGTGTGTGTGTGTATGTGTATGTGTGTGTGTGGGCAGTGGGGATGAGTGGCTGCCTCCTTTCTTGAAAAAGGGAATTCATAAAGCACAGGCCACACAGACACCATACCGTGCGTATGCAATGGTACACACTTGTCGACATGCACAATTATGCAGTATGTACGCACATGCCACCCGCATGCACACAAACACACACTTCCCCATCACCAGCCTGTTCGCCCCTTACCCTCCTCCTCTCACATTACCTCACACTCATAAAATACCACTGAATTACCCAGGAGTCCTTTCACCAACTTGTCTACTCATACTCATGTTTTTGCAGAGGGAGCACTTTTTTCTTTTTTGCCGTGCTCCTATAGCGTATCACTGTTTTTAGGCTTTCACACTTCTGGTTTTCTTATCTTTTTTTCCCTCTCTTTTCCTTTTTACTGTGTTGTTTTACATAGTTAAGGACTGTGTATTTTGGCCGGGGCGAGCATTGTAAAAGGGTATGTTTGGTAGGAGGCAGGTGGGTCAGGTGTGTGTGAGTGTGTGTGTTCATTCCAGTTGATTGACATTGGCTGGAGATGGTGGGGGGGCTTACGGGAAAGGGCCTCTGAGAACACACTGCCTCTACTCTAATGCCTCTTACACGCATGGCAGCACTATACATCGTGCTGATGGCTGCTATTCATTGTGAACATTTCAGCGGAGAGGTTGTATATCAAAGTTATTATCCACTGTTCTTCATTACCCACGTTGAGTCGACTCCACAATGTGCTTTTTGTTACTAAAGCCAGGATTTGGGAATAATGATGCATTCAAAATGGCCACATAAAGAAAAACTGTGTGACAGCTAATATCTTACCCACAGGGCCCAATGAGAGGTGTGAGGTGCCAATGGACCCTGCATATCCGGTGTGTGCGGAGAAAGTGGAGGTGAGAAAGTGGAAATATATGGTAGCATGAAATTAATGGCTCTGTGTGTGCACTGTTTTAGGTGTATCGAAGTGCTTAACTCAACTTAAAGGGACAGTCCACCCCCAATTAAAAAATACACATTTTTCCTCTTACCTGTAGAGCTGCTAATCAGTCTAGATTGTTTTAGTGTGAGTTGCTGAGTGTTGGAGATATCGGCTGAAGAGACGTCTGCCTTCTTTTCAGTATAATGGAACTAGATGGCACTCAGCTTGTGGTGTTCAAAATGCCCCCCAAAAATTGGAAAACTCAACAGCAATGTCTCTTTCTGGAAATCATAACGGGTTTCTCAAGATCAGTGGTTCCCAACTCGTTCAACCCCGGAGGTCCAGTTTTCTCCTTGGTCATTAGTTCAAGGTCCACACAGTTTAATATATTCAGTGTCATATTTGTATTTGTCCATGTTGTCCAGCTAGTTTGCTGCCTCTGTCAAAGAGCTGTCCGTTAGTCACTCACTCTACAGCAGGAAACAGCACTTCATAGCCAAAGCTCTGTGTCGGAAAATCACTGTACTTCAAAATAAAGTGTGTTTTTACAAACTTGACACATTGGCGAGTCACTTGCAGTCCATTAAGAGTGGACCACAACCCACCAGTTTGGCATCACTGGGAGTTTGTTGTGACCTTAGCCCTTTTTAAATAGGAATTGTGCAAATTTGCAGGAAAGCCCAATCAGTCTTTGTTCAGCATTGGCAGTATAAAAACAAAATCAGGGAATGAAGCAAAATGCTGCCTGCCTACTTTTGTTTATACAGAATGCAACTTTTTCGGGGCAATGTTGGGCGTGAGCAAATAACAAAACGTGTAGCTCAGCGTGTTACATAAACAATGACGCGGCTGGTCAGTCCTTCTGCGATTCCCTCATAAGTTGACTGTTAATGGCCTCTTTGTTTGCGAGGGCAAGGAGGGCAAGCAATTCCTTGTCTCCCCAGTGGCTCATCTTTACAGTGTCTGTCAGGTTTGTGTTTCCCTCTTGCTACTAGCTGCTCATTCCTGCTATCAGCCATTTCCTGTTAGTCCACCTCCAGTGGGTCGCACGTGAGGCATCGTCAACAACTCCTCCCACAAGTCATCAACAGCCCCTCCCATGGCGGAAGGGTGTTGTTCTTTTTAAACCAAAAAGGTTCTGCCAATATGTTTACCCCTTTGCGCTGGAAATTGGGCACCTCGGATCTACTCACCAATCCAGCTGCGTGTCTCAATGCTCGCAACATTTGCTGAAAATCTGGCAGTGTAAAAGGGGCTATTGTTTTCTTTCTACCGCACTACACCCACCAACTGTACCACTGCACTGTTTTTTCACAATCCACCCTACTGAAGGAAAGAGGATTTCAAGTTACTTAGCTAGTTAGTTAGCTGGTTATAGTTCTGCCGGGGAAGACAACATTAATGTTTACATCTTGTGCTGGTATGACCTTGAGCATGAGTAGATGCACAGTTCCTGTACATTGTTTCTGTACATAGGTGTAGTTTAAAAGAAAATAGTTCCTGCATGAAACTGCTCACAACAAGGTCTGTGGATTATCCTGAGTAACCTGTTCATGATTTCTGGAAAAAGACATTGCTGTTGAGTTTTTCAAATGTATTTTTTGGTGCTTTGAGCACCACAAGCCGAGTGCCATCTAGTTTCATTAAGTTTGAGAGAAATCAGACATCTCTACGGCCGATATCTGCAACAATCAGCAACTAACACCAAAAAAATCTAGGTTTATTAATAGCACTACAGGTAAGATAGCAAAGCTATGTGTTTTTGATTTGGGGTGAACTGTCCCTTTAATGTTGTTTGTATGTAGTTCCCAGTATATGAGCTGGATATGGAAAAAACATTTTAAAATCATGGCTATTACAGTATAGCATGATATCACTAAAAATGCACCTTGTTATTTTGGCTGATTTAACACCCGTCTCTCTGGCAGTTCCTGCGGGCCCATTGGCAGTCAGACCCCTGTTATGCCTTTTATGGAGTGGATGGTACTACATGCTCCATACTGACATACCTTAGCCAAATAGAGGACTTTTGTCCCTCTCGTCTAGGAAGAAACCACTCTGCACTGCCATGGCACCAGAAACCTCCCTCTCATACACAGAAGGTACAAATACTGTATCACAAAGATCACTATACTGTAGAATGATTAAGCTCATGAGCTACTCCACTAAAACACTACTATTATTTCTGTTTCACGCCATACATACAGGCTGAGATACATACAACTCTGAGCCCACTGTATGAGGTCATCAGCAACAGCAGTGGTCCCGCTGTAAACTTCATCCGATCCAGAGTGGAAAGGATGTCTGAACGGTGGATACAAGCTGCTCTGAGGATGAGGCAGAGCAGCAACAGGACAGTCTCTACCCAAATGAGGGTATAACAACGAGATATTACCCCAACATATGTTTAGAGTTTATCAAAAACACCCCTGTGTGATTATGATGTTTATGTAAAGGGTTTTTAGTATCCATTAAAGTTGGATTTGGATTTTATAACTCACCCACCTCCTCTAGGTGCTGCTGTATCCCGGGGCCCTGGCTGGGAGTGTTGGCCAGCATTTTGAAGCCCTGGTGGAGAGAGGGGGTCCTCTAGGGGAGCTGGTCCAGTGGGCCGACCTCAGCGCCTGTCTCACAATCCTGGGCCACAACTTAACCTTCAGCACCTCACAGCAACAACTCCACAGGTTGGCACCACTGTCATCTACCTTTACTTTCATTATGACACAAAATGTTTATTGGCAAAGTACTGATTACACATATGAACAAAGGTATTTGTAGGTGTCTAGTCTTGGATTACACTGATATGACGATTGATGTTGAATGATGCTGGTGTGATGTGTGTTTATTGTGATTGGTCCAGCCTGGTAGGTGCTGCGCCAGGGCGAGGCAGTTGTCCAATCCAGAGGCCCCTGACCTTTGACCTCATCTACACTGACTACCATGGCCTTGCTCACCTTCAAGGCACCATGGGACTGGCTTTCCTGCATTACCAGTACGACCACAATTTGTTTTTTAATGAACCGGCACTCCTATATTTTCTATGATATTTTACATTTACACAGTTTTTAATCTCTGTAAACAGGAGTATTCATATAAATGCAGAATCTGTTGGTAACAGTATACGATTTAGTGTCAGAAGTGTTTTAGTTTGCATTTGTAGTCCAGGTGACATCGACCAGTTACAAAAGAGGTGGAATGCATCAGCCAAAATGCAATCTTGGAACACATCGGCTATCATTTGATGCGGAGTTAGCTTTTTTCTAATTTATCGGCATTCATATGCGGATATCTGCCTTTATGAGTCAAAATCATTTCTGGACCTGTCCCAAGTTGCTAATTGAACCATAAATAATGCGCAGAAGAGGAGGTCTTCGCCCAGATATCCGCTGGCTTCACTGGATCTCCTAAAATATTGGTCACAGAGGCTACGTTGGCGTCAGTTTATAGCCAGTGGGTTGCAAGATTGCACAGTTATATGCATTTTGCAATGAGCTACAAGTGCATTTAATGGTCCTTTGGATCAACGCCTTTCGTGTAATGGTAGATAAAAGATGTATAAACCCTGACCTCTATTTAATGATTATCATAAATGAAAAAGCCACATTCTTTTAAGCCCTTAAATAAGAGTCATGTGATAGAGGCAGCATTACACACCATAAGTTGTTAATATATTAATAGAAAACGACTGTGTGTTAATGTAAGATACATTTTCTGATCAGCTATTTTCAAAAATTCATTCCAGGTGTCTCTTCAGAATCCTGGATTCCTTTGGCACCGAACCAGCCTTTAACTTGGGGAGTTATGCGCATAGTCATGGATATAAAACGCTGTGGGGCAGCTGGGGTCTGCAACCTCTGCAGTATATGACCATGTTCCGTAAGTCTGTGTATGTATTCGTGTGTGTGCGTATGTGTGGACGTGTATGTTGTGGGGACATAAATCTGTTTACACAGTCACATTGTGGGGACTTCTCTTCCTTTCGGGGACACGTCCCCACAATGTAAATCTTTTAAGTTTAGACTGAAGACTTGGGTTACAGTTAGGGAGAGATGGATGGAAACACAACTCTGTGTTTGTGTGTGTGTGTGTGTGTGTGTGTGTGTGTGTGTGTGTGTGTACACACGTCTGTAATCATGCAAACATGTGACTCAACTGTGGCACTGTCTGATGGCAACTCAGTACAGTACATTGATTCAAAATAACAGTACCTATTTCTCAACACACATTTCCAGACATATTTATATCTTGCTGCCGCAGCACTGATCCTTCACATGCACCCCTCTAAGCGTCTTCACAGTGAGAGGATTAATAGCTGAGGTTAAATAAACTCAGTGCCCAGACTGAGCTTTCATTCCAACACCTCTCCCTGTCATCTTCCCCACCCTGCCGGGAGATGGAGACAAGCTGGACGCCCCGGTCCGAGAGCCGCCTCAGCCTCTAACACTGTTTATTTGTCTTGCTGAGGGGGAGACAGGGATGGATGTTAGCTGACGGTGGGGAAGGTGCAGAAAGAAAGAGACAAAGACACAGGAAGTAGAAAGAAGCCTGAGAAAAGAGCAGGCGGGTCTTTATGCTTCTGTTTTGAAATGGGGAAGAGGAGGACAGTTGACTAAAGGACACTGAACAGACAAGTAATGAAGCAGAAGTGTATACAGGCACTGAAACACTGAAACCAAGAAACTTCATGCATCACAGCTTCCCGTCACACCCCCACATGTTGCATGATTTTGATCGTATCAGTCTGCTGTTGCATATCTCTGCTAATCTGATAAGTGAGCCTATACAGGTGTAAGAGACAAGCAAGGACAAATGAAGCTGAAAAGGAGCCAGGAGGAAATTAAGTGCTGCTGCTGTATGGGTGAATGAGGGGAGATTTGGCTCAAGTCTTTTAAACATGTATCTTGAATGACACACACACACTGACAAATGTTGTAGAAGTCAATGTGATGCTTGCACACAAGTCCACACAATCACACACACACACACACACACACACACACGTACACCTTTGCTGGCACATTCCTATTAAAGTAAATACTCATCTCTCACACCTTCTTTAGTGTGTCGGAGGGCAGCAGGGTGGCAGCTGCCTATCCAAACAGCCAGACGTTCTCATTTCCTTTAACAGCTGATTTATACTGCTCAGCATGTTTTTCCTCTCTCACAGAATTTTAATCTCGACTGTTAAAGGTCCACTGTGTAGGATTTAGGGGCATGTATTGGCAGAAATGGTGTATAATATTCATGACTATGCTTTCATTAGTTTATAATTACCTTAAAATAAGAATCATGTGCCGTTTAAATCTACATACAGAATGGATTCTCTCCCATGGAGTCCACCATGTTGTTTCTATGGTAGCTCATAATAGAAAAAACTAAACACTGGCTCTAGATAGGGCCATTTGCATTTTTTTTGTCTTTTTTGCCACTGTTTCCCTGCACGCTTGGCACATGGGACAAGTTTCAGTTCTGCAACCTCACCACTAGATGCCACTACATCCCACACACTGGACCTTTAACTACAATATTCCTGGCCTGTGCTGTCACTAATGCCTGTCCAAAAGTAACCTCATTTTTAACTGCTCTGTGATCTGCTGTCTCTAGCCCATACCCCTGATAACTCCTTCCTGGGCTTTGTGAGTGAGGAGGCAGTGAGCGAGGAGGTAAGGGAGGATGAGCTGGAGCCGGACACCTTCAGGAAAGACAGGATAGCGGTTGTCTACGGCAAACAGGACTACATGTGGCAGGTATAATGACCAAAAGAGTATAGTGTAGAAAGTTAGCAAGAAAGACAGCTTAGTGTTTTTGTATATTCTTGTCTTAAAGGGATAGTTTGGATTTTTTTGAAGTGGGGTCATATGAGATACTTACCCATGGTCAGTGTATTACCTATAGTAAATGGCGGCCTGCAATGCCATCAGACTGGAGAAGCAGACAGGCATACCACCACGGAAGCTAAGCAATGTACTGCTTTGGATGGGGGCAGCAGCAAAACCATCTTAGCCATCTTAGTCATCTTATAAAAGCCCCACTTAAAAAAAACTAACAGTTTGAATGAGCGTTATAGCTATTTTCACAGCTTTACCTTGCCGTCAATCAGCCCTGTCTGTTGGGGAACTAAAACCGTCATTTCCATCTTTCCATCAAAGTCCACCAGACTCCTTTGACAAAAAGTGATTTTACCTCACAGAACACAAAGAGCTGCTATACTCTAAAAAATGATTCATGAAGTTAGTAGATAATGCTTAAAATACAGAAGTTATTTAGTATAACAGATGACGTTTGTCACATTAAAGTGTTATAGTCAGTTGACAACGTATTTTCAAGAGGTTAACATTTTTGAGTTGGATGGAATTGAAATAGATAAATTAGTATATCATAAATTAAATAATTTGACCACTAAACATAAATATTAAGTTGGTTCAACTTAATTAAGCTTTTTGAAATCAAAGCTAAATATGTTGGTTGTACCAAACTAATTGAGTTTGGTAAATTATAAAAGACTTGTAGGATTTACTCAATAATGGAATTGGCACTACTTAAAAAGATGCATGCAAACTGTTACCTTATTTTTTTCCAAGTTAAACCAATGTATTCTTTTTTAGAGTGTAGTCTGTGTTAATGTATGACTTTGGTGTTTTAAAGGGCTAGATCAGATCCACTGAAGTGCTGACTGCCATCTATTGTATGTAATACACTGACTATGGATCAGTTCCTTATACATCTCCACTTGAAAAAATCCGAACCTTCCTTTACGGTACTCTGAGTCCTGTGTGTTTCTGCATGTTTGTGTAACTATCAGGGTAAATCTGAGTATGTTGAGGTGATCAGTGAAGAGCTGGAGACCCACGCTACAGTCTACCAGCCTCCAGGTCACACCTCCAATCTGCCCAGCTTCGTCAGAAACCACGGCCTGCTGACTCAGGAACGCTTCCTACGACTTCTCCGCAGAGCCAAGGTCAGATAACAGTCAGCGAATCTGAATCTTTAGAGTGCATCTAGTTTGTCTCAAGTACATTTGTAGATTTATTGAGAATTTGTGGCATGATAATGTCGGACTGAATTGAAGCCCAGTATGGATTCCTGTCCTAATATGCTTTTCCTGCTTGTCCTGCCTTGTTTTTAGGTTATGAAAAATCCTCATTAGGATGCAAAATAATGCGTCTTCCTTCTGATGGTTCTCTCTCAGGTGTTTTTAGGTCTTGGGTTCCCCTACGAGGGTCCAGCTCCCATTGAAGCAATAGCCCTGGGCTGTGTCTTCCTTCAGCCACAATTTGACCCCCCACACTCGTCAGACAACAATGATTTCTACAAAGGCAAGCCCACCACAAGAAAGGTAGGTCAAACTGAAAAAAATTACACATTGAATTGAGCATAAATATTGTACACTGATTTGAAGACATAACGACAGTAAATAACTTTGGATGACAGATCTCCTCCCAGCACCCTTATGCTGAAAAATTCATCGGCAAACCCCACGTGTGGACTGTAGATGTGACCAACAAGACTGAAGTACGGGAGGTGGTCAGAGCCATTCAACGCACAGAGGTGGTGACCAGAGAACAAGCAATCATACTGTACATAGACACAAACCTTGTAATCTATTGAATTTAAATAAAAGCAGCTCTGAATAAAAGTGCATGTGTGTTTTTGTAGGTGAAGCCTTTCACTCCCCGAGAGTTCACCTGCGAAGGAATGCTGGAGAGGGTTCACACATATATTGCTCACCAGGTACAAAGTTGAAGCAATGTAGACCTGTTGCAGTATTTCTGGTGCTTCTTCTACTAAATTAGTCTAGTTGAATTTGAAGAGTGAGTTTTTATTCCTTGGATAATGGAGAAATAATTCAGTTGTTGTTTGGTTTCTTTCTTTCTTTTAAATCCCTCCAGAATTTTTGCAGTAAATCCATCCCTACTTGGCCCCCAGAAAGCACTCTAAGGGTGCACTTGGGTCCCCTGGGGCAGTCATGCGTAAGCGTGTGTCGACGGTCCTCCCTTGTGTGTGAGCCTGCTTTGTTTCACCACCTGAACAGTCCTGCTGCGTTTATCAGGTGAAAAATCAACGGGCACAAGCATGCCATTTGTGCTGTGTGCAGCTGAAAGTAAATACGCTTTCATTTCCCTTGTTTTTTTTTTGCAGACTCAAGATCGGCTGCTCCAGCATGGAACAGGAAGTCAACCATCTGTTTCCTTCCTACAGCCCGTGGGGCAGACGCTGCGGCCTTCAGCGGGAGCCTCTGCTGTTCAGTTGTGCCGGCTCTGACCCCTCTCACCGGAGACTGTGTCCCTGCAGAGCTCACGTACCTGGACAGGTGGCACTGTGCCCTGACTGCCTCTGAATGACACTGTGAAAGAACTCAGGAAATAGCAGGAGGAGAAGAGGAAAAATGTGATATGATGAAGGCAGCACCAAAGAGCTATCTGCATACTGTATACATAGGTAAAGATTTGATCTCGACCAAAGAGAGACGGCTGTCCTGCCAATGCTTTTGAAAGCTTTGTTTGTAGATCTCACACCAATGGTGAAAAATAGAGTATCTGCACTCTATTTTATTATCATGTGCACATTGAAATGAGTTGAAAACCAACTGTCAGTGCCCCAGTAACTGAGTGAAGGAGTCATCTCAATCAGCATCCCTGCCATTTAGTTTTTCACAACAATTTTAGTTAATTTATCACAAACACATGAAGGTGTTCGTTCCTATGGGAATGGACCTTAGTGGTCGCTGATTGATAAGTGAATATAAGAGAAGTCGTGCCAAATAGGTAAAGTTAGTTTATATGAAAAGTCAGAATATGACAGGGTGCATCCACTTGTGGATTTATCTTTGTTGGTATTTTTTCGTGACAGTCATTACTCAGGAACCAAAACTGAATGAGTACTTCACCCCTGAAGGACCATTTGTATGTCAGTTACTCACCTCGTATTAAGCTGTATTCATGAACAGTGAACGAAGAATCCAAAAACGTAAAGAAAAATTCTTAATTAACTGAAAGTTTTAGGGGTCCACATTTGACATCTGCAAAATGGCACCAACCATCCATTTACAAACTCTCAGAATGTGTGCAGTTTAATCCAAGTCCAGGGATGGCTGTGGCTCAGAGGTAGAGTGGGTTGTCCACTAATTGGAAGATCAGCGATTCGATCCCTGACTCCTCCAGTCTGCATGTCGAAGTATCTTTGGGCAAGATACTGAACCCCAGTTGCTCCTTATAGCTGTTCTATCAGTGTGTGAGTGCCTGTGTGACTGTGTCTGAATGGGTGAATGTGACATGTAGTGTAAAGAGGGCTTTGATTGGTCGGAAGACTAGAAAAGCTATACAGGTACAGTCCATTTACCATGTATTATTTACCCAGTCATATGTTCAGTACTTCTCAAACACGGATTTGTAAACAGATTGATACTGTATTGTTACTGCTGTTGTTAAACACAAACTCCTGTGACTTCAATTTGTCAGGAAATTTTCAGCTTTTTTGGATTCTTCGTTCACCATGGAGACATGCGAGAAACAAAAAGTTTTCTTACCGAATCCAACGTAACACTGGATGAGTAATTGATATACAAATAGTCATTTGGGTGGTGAAGTATTCCTTTAAAATGTTGAAGGATGATGAATTCAAGGCCTGGTCATGCTGCAGAATAAAATCCCTCTTGTTTTTGTAGCTTTTCCTTGATCCCTTAAGCAAACAGTCTAAATGAAGGCAAGATGCACTTTAGGGAAAAAGTGTTAATGTGTATTTAACTTAATCTAAGTGAGAAGTGGCACTTATGACTCTAAAGCCATTTAATTCTCTTCTCTGGTTCCAGATCATACTCCGTACAGGGCACTTCAATATTATGCTAAATAAGTATCCAATCATTCATTTGCTTACAGTAATGTATCACGCCGGTCAGCGTTGCATGGGATTACCGCTCATGTAACCCCTCGATGCATTACTGGCTGCAAATATTAGCCCGGGTCTCGGAGGAGAGCGGGTGACAGCCTAAGTGATGAGGCTCATTATCTGAGTGAATCATGGATAACCTCTGGATGCCTTTGGGAGGTCACAGTCATATGACCATGATTATACTGTCATATAAGCCATTGGTTCCCAACCGTCTTTGACTAAGGAAACCCCCTCAGCTCTGTTTTAATCCATGCCCCCCGCCAGTATAGGCAGAACCTCATTGTTTGTCTTTCAAACACATATTTTGCGTCATTTAGAGCGGGAAAGAAGTCACTGAAGGCAGGATTAATTATGTTTTCTTGAGTTATTTTACTAGAAATTATGATTTTGATCATAACAGATGACTCACTTTGCCCTGAGTTCTTGCGTTTGCTCCAATATTATTCCTTGACTGCCTCATGACCTATGGATACTTAAAGCCTCCCCAAGGGTGTTTTGCACCCCAGGTTGATATGAGCAAACATGGAAACTTTACATACAGTAAGTGAAGTGATTTGGCTACATGACGCATGCATAGAGACGTTTAAAGCCTGAATGTCTCCATTTCAGAAGCCTCAAATGGTCACACAGACTTATCCCATCATCTTGAAAGAAACAAATGATAACAAGTAAAGGCCAGACTACAGCGTTGTAAGTGATGGGGTGCTGGATTAACATGACGCAGCTGTTACCAAAGATGGCTCCAACAATGGCAACAAGCTGCTATTTTGAACCGGGTCAATGTGAGGTTTTTCTTGGAAACGACGCACTCGTGAATGTTAATTGGCAGAGCAAGAGACCTTTTCCGCCCCGATACACTTTATGTGACCAGAACATATTGTCACTCAGGGATCAGACCGCTCAGGGCTGCGACGACAGGACCGCTCGACAATGTGATTGACCAGTAAATGCCTGTGAAACGGTCCATGAAAACAACACTTGTGATGACTTTGGTGGACTCTGGTGAATTCTTTGGACCTGTCAGATGTGACTTTTGCTTAATTAGCTGAGCGGTCCAAAGATGATGGAAATGAACTTGTGTTCATGTCAGAAGGCTGTTTGGATTAAAGGAAAATAAAATTTGCTTTTGACTCACAGGGACGCCTCTGAAACTAATTTTTGGAAAGTGATGTGTCATTTCTGGATGAGTCATGTTAATTCATATCACTTACATGGGGTATGACGTATAAAAGCTGTCACTCACCTCCCAGGGGGCTGATAGAGGGTTCAAACTAAGGGTTCAAAAACAGCGGCGAGTAGATATGGAGCAAATGTGTAAATGTGAACAAAGGTTTTAGTGTTCCACGCGGCTGCCTACTGGAACAGTACAAAACTGACAAAGTCCTTATGTTTGACACAAACCCATATGATGTTGATATCCAGTGTGATATGCTTTGAGAAGACAGTGATATGTATCATCTAGCTAATTGTTGTCATCTGGGTAATTGTGGTTATGCTGCAAATCAGTTTTATGCTTAAATAATTTGATTACAGTGGGGGTTTCTTGTGAGATCAGAATCTATGTGAATGAAGATAGATAGACAGATAGATAGATAGATAGATAGATAGATCTGTGTACTTTGGCACAGTGGTGCTTTCAGCTAAATGCTAACACTAGCATGGCAACATGCTAACAACAGGACCATTTCGACAGCCCAAAATTCGGACCATCAGTCTGAAAAAAAAAAAAGTCCCAGTGGACTGAAAGCCCATTTCTCTGACAGCCCATTATCAGAAAAAAACAAACGGCCATTGCTCTGAAGTCCTGTTTCTCCAAAAATACACACTCCCTGCAGTTAGCTTCAGTTTCCTAGCAGCGTTTGAGCCAACGTTCCCAGTTTTTACCCACTCTTCGCATTTCCTAATAGCATTGTAGCAACTGAACTAAGGTGTTTTTCTGCAACGTGTCCCTGCATTTCCAGTGTCTTTTGTGCCACCAAATGTGAACTATTAAGCCAAAACATAATTTTTTTTTTAACTAATGGGGCTTTGGAATTTTGGGCAGTCGGAAAAATTGGCAGTCCCCTTCACACAGCAATGCTAAAATGCTAATGTTTAGCTGGTATATTGTTTGCCTTGTTCATTCCTGTAATTTAGCATATTAGCATCCTACCTGCATCCTGCTAGCTAGCACTAAATGCAAACACTTGATCCCAAGAGGGATATGAACGCCTGTACAACCATCCAATGGTTGACATATTTCAGTTTGGACCAAAGCGATGGACCAACGGACAGGCTGACATTGCCATCCATAAAGCCATACCACTAGCATGGTTAAATATACTGGACTCTGTACTCATATGCCACCTCTGCCCGTTGAAATAACGATTAGACGGTTAGAAAATAAGAGATGATTGATGGAGGAGAATAAAAAAATCAAAACCCTTGAGAAACCAAGAGAGGAAACATGAACCTGTGTCAGGGTCAGCCAGACATCATGGAACGTTCACGCTCCAGTAGAGGTTCAATAATGTTTGTCTGAGTGCTTTTTAATTTTACATGAGAGACAGGAACTTTTTTGGCCACATAGGGACTCGTTCTCCTTGCTCCTATACCTTTTAACTGTGGAATGTGGTGGCAAATCAAACTTCACTGCCAAGAAAAATGAGAGATCGTGTAGAAGAAAGCAATACGGGAGAGTTTTAAATACATTCAAACCTTTAACCTGTGATGTGTCTGTCTCTTTATTTGAAAGATAGTTTCATTCTGAGAACACCTTGTGCTAAAGAGAAGTGAGATAACACTGTTTTTTCAGACTTCAATGTTATTTTACATGCATGACTAATTTATTTAAGAGTTGGGGATGACAAAGCACAAAAGTAGTTTACATTTAGTCCAAAATGATTGCACTGTATCAGGATCAACTTCAAGTACAGACATAACTCAATCGTGTCTTTTTCTTCCTGAGAGTTACTGGAAAATGTTGTAACCACTCAGATTTGTAGTTATTGCTGTATTATATTTTCATGACTGTTTACTATCAATCACACTGTTTACACTGAGTCATCAAGCGTTTCCCAATGTGCTTCTTGTCTCCAATCAAACACCACTTCAGACTGATTGAATCCCCCTTCTTTTTCTCATTTTATTTGGTCTCCTGCCTGCTTTTTCTTTACTTTAACACTTCTTTTCAGATTTCGTTTCCCTTTTCTTACTGCATCTTTAGCCATGCTATATTCCCATGTCATCATCTATAGCCCTTTTTACACAGAGATCCCACGATAGGGCAGTGACAAAGGCCCCTCATTGCACCAAACAATGCTGGCATAATGCTGCCCCAGTGTGTGATTTTAGATAGCATGCCGGCGTTCCTGAAGCGAAAGAGGCGTGACTGGCATGACATGTAACACAACAGCATCTGCCTCTAATGTGACATACAACCTATGCATCAGGCAGTGCTGTAAAGGCTGTTAAAGGCTTATTGTCTTTTAAAATCTCCATGTGGATGGTTGCACGCATAACATGTCACAACGCCACACCTGATTTGGCACTGTTACTATCTCTGCTGCTGGCTGAAAGGCGAGACACAGACATACGATTGGATTACCTCCAGTTTGCACCACTCTCATTTGTCCACCTCCGTGTGTATGTGTAAAATGGCATGAACCAGCTAAATAAATAATTTTATTGCTTATATATCCTCCTATATTCAGGAACCTCTAGCTCCTCGCCTCTCCAGCTTTATGATTTGCAATAGCAGCTTTCTCCCTTAAGGGGGCAGTGTGGTCAAGCTAAAGCAGCCAGCACCAGAAGTCACAGCATGCCAGTTACAAATCTCAGCAACCTGCTCATGAAGTGACACGAGAGAGATGAAAACAGAGGAAAATTAAAAAATGAGAGAAAAGTGATTTCATGTGCGAGCAGACGGAGACATGAGGGGAAACAGAGGTACGGTAGATGTGCTGGGACAAACAGAGACACTTCCAGTCTTCTCTCCAGGTAGCTTCCAGTTTAAGTTCACCCACCACACTTGCAAAAAGGGGGAGGGAGGAGAGCGGCTTAACTACCATAAGAAAGCAGCTGCTTTTATTGAAACCTGTTATTGGCGTGCCAAGATTACACTGAACAACAACAACCCTCCTCCCTGGAAGCCAATAAAATGCCGACAACAAACACTTGGCTTGCCTACAGCCCTGTTAGAAGCCACAGAGGTTGGCCTTAATG